ACGGCGTGGTGACGATGATGATGTTCTACCGGAGCAGGGCTTCGCCTAAACTCCACGACGATATGACCGAGGTGGAATATGGTGGAGGGGGGCACCGCACACGGCTAAGGAACGATCCGTAGATCAACATGTGTGTCATGGGGTGCCCCCCTGCCCCCGTATATAAAGGAGCAAGGGGTAGGAGGCCGGCCCTAGGAGGGGGCGCGCCAAGTGTGGAGTCCTACTAGGACTCCCTAGTCCTAGTAGGATTCCACCTCCCTTGTTGGAGTAGGAGAAGGGGAAAGAGGGGGAGAGGAAGAAGGAAAGGGGGGCTGCGCCCCTTGTCCAATTCGGACCAGAGGGGGGCGCAGACCTCCTTCCTTTTGGCCTCTCTCCTCTATTCCCGTATGGCCCAACAAGGCCCATATACTCCCCGACGAATTCCCGTAACTCTCCGGTACTCCGAAAAATACCCGAATCACTCGGAACCTTTCCGAACTCCGAATATAGTCGTCCAATATACCGATCTTTACGTCTCGACCATTTCGAGACTCCTCGTCATGTCCCTGATCTCATCCGGGACTCCGAACTCCTTCGGTACATCAAAACGCATAAACTCATAATATAACTGTCATCGAAACCTTAAGCGTGCGGACCCTACGGGTTCGAGAACTATGTATACATGACCTAGAACTGTTTCCGGTCAATAACCAATAGTGGAACCTGGATGTTCATATTGGCTCCTACATATTCTACGAAGATCTTTATCGGTCAAACCACATAACAACATACGTTGTTCCCTTTGTTATCGGTATGTTACTTGCCCGAGATTCGATTGTCGGTATCCAATACCTAGTTCAATCTCGTCGCCGGCAAGTCTCTTTACTCGTTTTGTAATACACCGTTCCGTAACTAACTCATTAGTTACAATGCTTGCAAGGCTTAAGTGATGTGTATTACCGAGAGGGCCCAAAGATACCTCTCCGACAATTGGAGTGACAAAACCTAATCTCGAATTACGCCAACCCAACATGTACCTTTGGATACACCTGTAGAGCACCTTTATAATCACCCAGTTACGTTGTGACGTTTGGTAGCACACAAGGTGTTCCTCTAGTAAAAGGGAGTTGCATAATCTCAAGTTGTAGGAACTTTGTATAAGTCATGAAGAAAGCAATAGCAACATACTAAACGATCAAGTGCTAGGCTAACAGAATGGCTCAAGTCAATCACATCATTCTCCTAATGATGTGATCCCGTTAATCAAATGATAACACATGTCTATGGTTAGGAAACATAACCATCTTTGATTAATGAACTAGTCAAGTAGAGGCATACTAGTGACATTATGTTTGTCTATGTATTCACACATGTATCATGTTTCCGGATAATACAATTCTAGCATGAATAATAAACATTTATCATGATATGAGGAAATAAATAATAACTTTAGTATTGCCTCTAGGGCATATTTCCTTCAATAACTTCGGTTACAAAACATGATCATCTCATACAATAAAATATAGCATCACGTCTTGACCATATCACATCACAACATGCCCTGCAAAAACAAGTTAGACGTCCTCTACTTTGTTGTTGCAAATTTTACGTGGCTGCTACGGGCTGAGCAAGAACCGTTCTTACCTACGCATCAAAACCATAACGATAGTTTGTCAAGTTAGTGTTGTTTTAACCTTCGCAAGGACCGGGCGTAGCCACACTCGGTTCAACTAAAATTGGAGAAACAGACACCCGCTAGTCACCTGTGTGCGAAGCACGACGGTAAAACCAGTCTCGCGTAAGCGTACACGTAATGTCGGTCTGGGCCGCTTCGTCCAACAATACCGCTGAACCAAAGTATGACATGCTGGTAAGCAGTATGACTTGTATCGCCCACAACTCACTTGTGTTCTACTCGTGCATATAACATGTACGCATAAAACCAGGCTCTGATACCACTGTTGGGGAACGTAGTAATTTTAAAAAATTTCCTACGCACACGCAAGATGATGGTGATGCATAGCAACGAGAGGGGAGAGTGTGTCCACGTACCCTCGTAGACCGAAAGCGGAAGCGTTATAATAACACGGTTGATGTAGTCGTATGTCTTCACGGCCCGACCGATCAAGCACCGAAACTACGACACCTCCGAGTTCTAGCACACGTTTAGCTCGATGACGTCCCTTGAACTCCGATCCAGCCGAGTGTTGAGGGAGAGTTCTGTCAGCACGACGGCGTGGTGACGATCTTGATGTTCTACCGTCGCAGGGCTTCGCCTAAGCACCGCTACGATATTATCGAGGTGGACTATGGTGGAGAGGGGCACCGCACACAGCTAAGAGATCCAAGGGATCAATTGTTGTTGTGTCTCTGGGGTGCCCCCCTGCCCCCGTATATAAAGGAGCAAGGGGGGGAGGCGGCCGGCCTAGGGAGGAGGCGCGCCAAGGCGAGTCCTACTCCCACCGGGAGTAGGACTCCCTCCTTACATGTTGGAGTAGGAGAAGGGGAAAGAGGGGGAGAGGAAGAAGGAAAAGGGGGATGCGCCCCTTGTCCAATTCGGACAAGAGGGGGGGCGCAGGCCTCCTTCCTTTTGGCCTCTCTCCTCTATTCCCGTATGGCCCAATAAAGCTCATATACTCCCTAGCGAATTCCTGTAACTCTCGGGTACTCCGAAAAATACTCGAATCACTCGGAACCTTTCCGAACTCCGACTATAGTCGTCCAATATATCGATCTTTACGTCTCGACCATTTCGAGACTCCTCGTCATGTCCCCGATCTCATCCGGGACTCCGAACTCCTTCGGTACATCAAAACTCATAAACTAATAATATAATTGTCATCGAAACCTTAAGCGTGCGGACCCTACGGGTTCGAGAACAATGTAGACATGACCGAAACACGTTTACGGTCAATAACCAATAGCGGAACCTGGATGCTCATATTGGTTCCCACATATTCTGCGAAGATCTTTATCGGTCAAACCGCATAACAACATACGTTGTTCCCTTTGTCATTGGTATGTTACTTGCCCGAGATTCGATCGTTTGTATCTCAATACCTAGTTCAATCTCGTTACCGGCAAGTCTCTTTACTCGTTCCGTAATCATCTCACAACTAACTCATTAGTTGCAATGCTTGCAAGGCTTAAGTGACGTGCATTACCGAGAGGGCCCAGAGATACCTCTCCGACAATCGGAGTGACAAATCCTAATCTCGAAATACGCCAACTCAACATGTACCTTTGGAGACACCTGTAGAGCTCATTTATAATCACCCAGTTACGTTGTGACGTTTGGTAGCACACAAAGTGTTCCTCCGGTAAACGGGAGTTGCATAATCTCATAGTTGTAGGAACTTTGTATAAGTCATGAAGAAAGCAATAGCAACATACTAAACGATCAAGTGCTAGGCTAACAAAATGGGTCAAGTCAATCACATCATTCTCCTAATGATGTGATCCCGTTAATCAAATGACAACTCTTTGTCCATGGCTAGGAAACATAACCATCTTTGATTAATGAGCTAGTCAAGTAAAGGCATACTAGTGACACTCAGTTTGTCTATGTATTCACACATGTATTATATTTCCGGTTAATACAATTCTAGCATGAATAATAAACATTTATCATGAAATAAGGAAATAAATAATAACTTTATTATTGCCTCTAGGGCATATTTCCTTCAGTCCCTTACCTCCGGGTCAACCTCCTTCCTTGGGGATCTCATCTGTTGCGGCTGAGATGGAGGATTCCTGAGACCCCCTTCCCGGCCACCAGCATCATTGTAATGCGACTTATTCAGACCATCTACATACAGCCAGGCCCCAAACTTCTTGTCCTTCTCCTCATGTATTCCAGGCCCACACTCTTTGCAGTCATGGCCAATAAGACCACAAACACTACAGAAACATGCCAATTTCTCATATCGCACCAAGAAAACCTGGCGTTCCTTTCCTCTCACAATGCTGACAAACTTAGTTAGAGGTAGCCGGATATCATGACGAACCCTAATTCTGATGTAGTCACCACGTGTGTTCCCGCTCAGCCTCATCTCCAGAATATCACCTGAGTTTCTGAGCAGATGCTCGATAATGCTCTTCTTGCAAAAGCCATCCGGTATCTTGTGGATTTGGAGCCAGATCGGCATGAACACCATAGACATCTCTTCAGGTTTGGTGAATCCATCGTATGGGCACAGTAACACCAACATGTTCCTGAACAGCCAAGGACCCTGCTCTAGCATCCGTTCCCAATCTCCTAAGCACGCCGCCTGCACCACAAACAGCTTCGGGCCGACCGGCCGAAACCTAACTGGCTGCGCCGAATTCCACGCCGCCCGCATGTCCTTGTAGAAGGCAGTATGGTTGAACGATTTTGTCCGTGTGAACCCTTGCAAGGGCCAACCATCTCACACTCTCGTTGATTGCAGGGTCATCCTCATCAATTACAAGATCATCGAACACTTCATCTTCTAGGTTGAGTTGCTCAAGAAAATCACCCAGATCAGGAACCCTAGCGATGCCGACACCCCCGCTAGTTCACGACTGGGCATCCTGGGTCGGACGATCCATCGCCACCAATGCTGGGTGACACGGAGTAGCGCGATCAGCGATCCCCCGCGACGGGATGGAATACTGATCCGATCGAAGACTCGCTGGCGTGGGAGTCACCAGAGAGGATAGAAACCCTAGCCGCACGGGTAGGGGAGACCACGTAGGACTTTCGGTGTGTCGACTTTGTGATGACGTGGCTATGCAGGTCTAGGGTACCCTAATTTTTTTCTTGATTGCCATTGAATGGTTATGTGCACATTTTTAGGGGAGTTGTTCTGTACAGTAGTTGATAAATAATTTTGAAACTGCGTAAGAAAATCAATCATAAAAGAAAGAAAGAAAAAATCTGGGTATGCTGGTTGTGTGTAGTGGGCCTTCTTTTACTTGAGTTCTCGTGGGCTCTCTCTCTCCCGAAAAAGAAAAACAAGGAGTAGGTCACTCCACCACAATCCAACACCTTTCCCCACATGAGCTGTGACGAGATGAGCCGCCGCCGCCCACGCTCGCCGCCGCCGGTGCCGCCGCTGGACGATGACAACCTTCTCTCCGAGATCCTCCTCCGCCTCCCACCAGATCCGTCCTCCCTCCCTCGCGCCTCCCTCGTCTCCAAGCGCTGGCTCGGTCTTGTCTCCGACCCCGGCTTCTCCCGCCGCTTCCGGCTCCACCACCGCGGCAACCCTCCTCTCCTCGGTTTCTTCGACCCCTTGCACTTCGTACCTACAATGGATCCCCCCAATCGTGTCCCGGATGGCCGCTTCTCCTTGTGCCCAGACGGCAAAGATTGGGGCGGCATCTTCATGCCCTTGGGATCCCGCCATGGCCTCCTACTCGTCTTCCACCTTTCGCGGAAGCTGCTCCTGGTGTCGGACCCCTTCAACGTCGACCAGCACCGCCTTGCCGTTCCCCCGGAGTTCGATATGGAGTCGGCCCGGTTCAGCGGGGCGGTGTTTCGCGCCACCGGAGACATCCTACACTTCCAGGTGGTGTTGGTAACCACAGAGACAGACGAGCAGCAGCATACAAGGGTCATCGCCCGTGTTTACTCGTCGGAGACTGGAGGATGGGGCGATCGCATCTCAACACCACTACCATCCAAACTTCCCACCAAGAGTCGTATGGACTTTACTATGGGTGTGCTAGTTGGTCATTCCCTTTACTGGCTGTTCAATGATAGATCAGCAACAGCTGAAATTTTGGATGGCATCCTTGAGTTTGATTTGGAGAGGCAGATCCTAGCTGTGAAACCGGTGCCAGTGGATATTCTCAAGAAAAACATCTACCAATTCCAGGTTATGCGGGCAGATGGTGGTGGCCTTGGCATTCTCTTTTTGTCAAATTTCAGTGCCCAGTTATGGAAGATGGAGACTGATTCTGATGGCGTTGCTTCATGGGTTCTGGGAAAAACTGTTGAACTGGACATGTTACTTTCCCTGAATACAGAAGATGGGGAGTCCCTGATTCTACAAGGGTTTGCTGAATACAATAATGTGGTGTTCCTACGGACACACACCAACCTCTTCACGATCCAGCTTGAGTCACTGCAGTTCAAGAAAGTTTTTAAACCCAACTTCATGACTCACTATCATCCGTTCGAAAGTGTCTATGCTGCAGGTAATATATGCCTTTACACTGTAGGTATTAAAAGATAACATCTGTAATTGGTTGATTGAATGTTATTCACATCCTTTCGCGTTAAGCTAACAAGTTGAAGTAGATACATATAAATCATTTCTTTTTGCTGCTGGATGATCTTCTCAACATATAGCGATGGAGTCTTCTTTTTGGATGTTTGTGTGGTGGCGTTCTATGTGATGGTTATGATTTGGCAATAATATATTTGTACTGTAGCTAACCAGTTCTGCTTTTCTGGAGATGTGATTCTACTCTATCGTGATTTTGAGTGCCCTTAGTTGAAACCGGTTGAGCATCTCCTTTGTCAAAACACAAAATAAAATTTAGCATTGCTGTTTTCTTTTGCTATTCGCATGCTCTTGTTATGGAATTGTATGGTTTGAGTCAGCGGTGTCAAATTCATTATCTGTTTACTCTCTTGTAATCCTAGAATAAGAACATGTCAAAAAGGTCAGCAGTTCTTTGTATACTAATCAAACTAAATTTTATTGTTGGCTGCCTATTGGCATATTCAAGAACTGTACAATGCTAGTATTAGTGTATAGCTGCAGTGCAGATACTTTTCAAGATGAGATAGATAACGGCTGGCAACTGAAGACAACTACATGAAAAAAAAACCCTACCTTGAACCAAATGAAATGTCAAATAGGTAGATCAGTTGGCACATTTTGATGCTTTCATTCATTCAGCAGTGTTATTATTGGCATTGCTAATCTTAAAATCCACAATAACGATTTGGTTTGTTGTTTTAAAAGCACTTGCTCGGCCAGTGGCAAGGTAGAACAATAATAAATTGGGTTTATTTCATCTTTACTGGTTAACTATATTTAAATATATGAATAGTCATGATCCCTTTTATTGATAGAGTTTATTAGTAATTTAGTATGGGTATATTTTATTTTATCTGCTATGGCATGGGGCGAGCTTAAGCATAATATTAGGTAACTTCTCACTTCAGGTCAGCTAATAGTCTCTGTGCATATTCTTCATTTTCATTGCACCAGTGAGTATATATTGTTCTGAGAATATTCTATTTATTTGATAGTTGATGGGTTTTTGTTTATCTACTCGCCATGATGTATCAAACCTGAGTGTTTTCTCAAATTACATATGTGAGTTTATCCAAATATCTCATTGATGCCCCCTTGTATCATTTGATATGACTGGTAGTATTAGTGCATGGCTGCAGTTCAAATGTTTCTGAATATGAGATACATAATGGTTGCAGGCACGGGCATTGGTGGTGGACATGATGGAGCTGAACTTTTGCGCAATACATAAGATGATTGGTCAGATGGATATGCTATTGTGATGTATTAACGAGTAAGTAAGCTTATCTTAAAATAGTAGCAGAATGAAATAATTCCCCTTCTTTTGCTTCATTGATAATTTCTGTTTATTTTTACTGGTTGCAACATTCCATTTTCTATTTTTGTGGCTACGAATCGATGAGGTCCAAGTATGATTTCTATGTTATACCCTTTACACAATGAATTGATACCCAACAATAACTGAACATTTGGCTTTGAACTTCGTCTATTAGCTCGGGCCTATATAAATTGCCATTCCACATTGTTGTTCATTGGATTGTTATAATACCTAGTGCTCACTTGCAATTATTGAACAATCTCAGCCTTGTAGGCAGTTTGCTTCAATATTTTATTAACATATCTTTGTTTGTCACTCTTTCTCACATATTTCATCTTGCTATAATATTTTTTTAGTTGTTGATATTTTCTTGAGTTATGGACTGTCAATTGTATGATCGAAGAGTCCACATTAATCAAGGTTTTTATCCAATACCATTAAGGGGCTAGTGTGGTCATCTGCCACTTGATAAATAAGGAAACAAATAATCCATGGTAAGCGTGACAAGAATATCTAATAAAATACAATAATCTTCTCAAGGAAATAGATTTTAATGATCTTACTTGATAAATCTGATTATTTTCAGTGTCTATAAAATTTACTTCTGCTCGTCCTCACAAGTTATTTGAGATTGAAAACATGGAAAACATTAAAACCAAAACTTACAAATACAATTTCGAGAATGTATCAACTTATAATATTCTCATTGTAGTCACCTTCAGTTTGTAACTGAATTTTACATATGGGATCTAAATCCAAAGTGAGAACTACTACGTGATGGTTTTATGCTTTCATTTTTCAGAAAACAATAAATAAATACGAATATGTGTAGGTTTTTAAATTTCATTTCATGCTTATAGGCACATCTCTTCTAATTTCTAAAACATTAGACGATCCTTTCAAATCCGGAGCAGAAATATTTAAATTTCCACCTCTCATATTTGATTGCAAATTGGAACTTAGTCATCACCCTTATCAATGGACTTGAAGAACAAAGGCTTATGTCAGCTATAAAAAGCAACATTAGAGGAATCATTAAAAATAGAAATCACATCAAGCCCTACTAGAAAAGTAGCTGCACTATCAGATGAGTTCGCTTCAGAAATGAAAACTCAAAAGTCTATCATGTGGTGGCCAATAAAGCCTACCGAAGAAATCTCATTCCATCTCTTGCCGACCGTCAGGGATCCTCAACCAATGATGATGAAGTCAATGCATCTATCATCTGGAAAACATTGGGTAACATAGTGTCTGTCTCGGCCAACCCCCACAGGTTATTTAATATTTCTGAGATTGTAACTACCTCTCGACCCCCCTTCTCTGGATAGTGAGTTGATAATGTGGTCAAGCAAATCCCCTTGGACATTTACGGTGGCCCTGACATAGCTTTAACGACCTGTCCATCAATATATATTGTCTGGTCATCAAAGAGTATCTTTACAACCCGTGTGATGATTGTTAGGAATCTGCCATCCTTCATACCAAGTCAAATGATACTATACTTGGACCTTTAGGAATTTACCAACCCTATTACCTCCAAATGGATATGGAACCTGCCATTGTTGACTCTTTAGTTAAACAATGTAATCTGCAATACATGGCAGTCATCATTGGAGAGTGTTGGATTTGAGGAGGTGCATACCAGGAGCAGCAGTTGCAATGTCTCTCGTGCGTGTGGTGGCTCTGAGACACAGAGCTTGGACGAGCTCCTCTCCCGTAGGTTAGATAGCCACCATGGGCCTGGGCCACTTGGGCCAGCAATGCATGGGCCATGAGCCCCTCATCCAACACTCACCCTCTAGAGGGGTGATAGGTATCTATCATTCCTATCTTGTCACACGTTAGATTGCATTCTTTAGTTCCCAATCCTTTGGTCAAACAGTCTACAATCTATTGCTTAGAACTCACATGCTCAATCTTGATGAACCTAGTGTCAATCTTTTCTTTGATGAAGAATCTGTCTATTTCCACATGCTTGGTTCTATCATGCTGCACTGGATTTTGTGCTATGTTGATTGCTGATTTGTTATCACACCACACATTCATACAACTAGTCTTCAATATCTTCAATTCTTCTCATAAATTTTTGGTCCATAGCATCTCACTCAGTCCCTTAGACATGGCTCTGTATTCAGCCTTTGTAGTTGATTTGGAAACAACAGGTTGTTTCTTGCTTCTCCAAGATACTAGGTTTGCTCCTACAAAGACACAATAGCCTAAAGTTGATCTCCTGTCGTCTAGGCAGCTAGCCCAATCAACATCACAATAACCATCTACAACAAGGTGTCCATAACTCTTGAACAACAGTCCTTTCCTAGGAGTACCTTTCAAGTATCTCAAGATTCTATGTACCGCCTCGAGATGTCCACTTCTAGGCTCATGCATGTATCTGCTCACAACACATACTACAAATGCAATGTCTGGTCGTGTATGACACAAGTACAACAACCTCCCAACTAATCTTTGATATCTCTCCTTATTCACCGGCTCTCCTGATTGAGCTGTCATTTTGTGGTTTTGATCAATTGGAGTTGATGCTGCTCGACATCCTAGCATCCCTACATCGCTTAGGAGATCTAAAGCATACTTCATCTGGGATACCGCAATCCCCTTCGCAGACATGGCCACTTCTATGCCCAAGAAGTATTTGAGTCGGCCCAGATCTTTGACTTAAAAGGCCTTACCGAAACACTCTTTCAGTCTTGCTATTTGTTCTTTGTCATCCCTTGTGATAATAATATCATCGACATATTGTTGGGGAACGTAGCATACAATTTCAAAAAATTTCCTACGATCACGCAAGATCTATCTAGGAGATGCATAACAACGAGATGGGGAGAGTGTGTCCACGTACGCTCGTAGACCGAAAGCGGAAGCGTTAGTTAACGTGGCTGATGTAGTCAAACGTCTTCACAATCCAACCGATCTAGCACCGAACATATGTCACCTCCGAGTTCAGCACATGTTCAGCTCGATGACGTCCCTCGAACTCTTGATCCAGCAGAGGGTCGAGGGAGAGTTTTGTCAGCACGATGGCGTGATGACGGTGTTGATGATGTGATCCGCGCAGGGCTTTGCCTAGCACTACGATGATACTATCGGAGGAGTAAACGGTGGAGGGGGGCACCGCACATGGCTAAGACAATGTTGTGCCTTTGGGGTGCCCCCTGCCCCCGTATATAAAGGAGGGAGGAGGCCGGCCACCAAGGGCGCGCCAAGGGAGGGGGGAGTCCTACTAGGACTCCACTCCTAGTAGGATTCGGCCCCCCTCTTTTTTTCCTTCTTACGGAGGCGAAAAGGGGGAAGGAGAGGGAGTAGGAGAAGGGAAGGGGGGGTGGCACCTCCCTTCCCCTAGTCCTTACGGATGTTAGCCTCCCTCCCATGGCCCATATCTTCCACCGGGGGGTTCCGGTAACCCTTTCGGTACTTCGGTTTGTACCTGATACACTCCGGAACCCATCCGGTGTTCGAATACCACCTTCCAATATATCAATATTTACCTCTCGACCATTTCGAGACTCCTCGTCATGTCCGTGATCTCATCCGGGACTCCGAACAAACTTCGGTAATCAAAAACACGTAACTCATAATACAAATTGTCATCGAACGTTAAGCGTGCGGACCCTACGGGTTCGAGAACTATGTAGACATGATCGAGACACATCTCCGATCAATAACCAATAGCGGAACCTGGATGCTCATATTGGCTCCTACATATTCTACGAAGATCTTTATCGGTCAAACCGCACAACAACATACGTTGTTCCCTTTGTCATCGGTATGTTACTTGCCCGAGATTCGATCGTCGGTATCATCATACCTAGTTCAATCTCGTTATCGGCAAGTCTCTTTATTTGTTCCGTAATGCTTCATCCCGCAACTAAATCATTAGTCACATTGCTTGCAAGGCTTATAGTGATAAGCATTACCGAGAGGGCCCAGAGATACCTATCTGATACACAGAGTGACAAATCCTAATCTCGATCTATGCCAACCCAATAAACACCTTCGGAGACACCTGTAGAGCATCTTCATAATCACCCAGTTACGTTGTGACGTTTGATAGCATACAAGGTGTTCCTCCGGTATTCGTGAGTTGCATAATCTCATAGTCAGAGGAACATGTATAAGTCATGAAGAAAGCAATAACAATAAAACTTAACGATCATTATGCTAAGCTAACGGATGGGTCTTGTCCATCACATCATTCTCTAATGATGTGATCCCGTTCATCAAATGACAACACATGTCTGTGGTCAGGAAACACAATCATCTTTGATTAACGAGCTAGTTAAGTAGAGGCATACTAGGGACACTAAGTTTTGTCTATGTATTCACACATGTACTAAGTTTCCGGTTAATACAATTCTAGCATGAATAATAAACATTTATCATGATATAAGGAAATATAAATAACAACTTTATTATTGTCTCAGGGCATATTTTCTTCAGTCTCCCACTTGCACTAGAGTCAATAATCTAGTTCACATCGCTATGTGATTTAACATCAATAGTTCACATCTGTATGTGATTAACACCCATAGTTCACATCGCCATGTGACCAACAACCAAAGGGTTTACTAGAGTCAATAATCTAGTTCACATCACTATGTGATTAACACCCAAAGAGTACTAAGGTGTGATCATATTTTGCTTTTGAGAGAAGTTAGTCAACGGGTCTGCTAAATTCAGAGCCGTATGTATTTTGCAAATTTTCTATGTCCGCAATGCTTTGCAAGGAGCTACTCTAGCTAAGTGCTCCCACTTTCAATATGTATCTAGATTGAGACTCAGAGTCATCTGGATTGGTGTAAAGCTTACATCGACGTAACTCTTTACGACGAACTCTTTATCACCTCCATAACCGAGAAATACTTCCTTAGTACTCTTAGGTAACTAAAGATAACTTTGAT